GGTGCCGGGGGGGAGGCGGGGGAGGGCGCCGGTTTTCCTCTGCAGGGCGAAATACGGTTTGAACACATGCAAGCCACGGGAAAATCGGGATTCGGGGATTTTTTTCCTTCAAGCCACGGGAAAAATCGGGATTCGGGGACCTCGTCCTTCGAGGGCTGGCAGCTGGCGTGTGCTGGGCTCTGGCACAGGAGCCTCGGGCAAGGTGTGCAGGGCAGGCCTCGGGGGGCGGAGGTGGCCTGGCTGGGCAGGTGAGAGCCCCACGGGGGCAACTTACACCGCTCCCTTGAAGGGCAATGCGCAGCCCTGCTTTCACCCCCCACAATCAGCGTAGAGCTCGCGCGAGCACAAGCTGAGCGGGGGCAGTTGATCCATCCCTGGAGCTGGCAGGCTAGTGTTGGCAAAGCCCAAGGCTCCAGCGCGCCATAAGCAAGTCACACTCCTGCCTCTGTTTTACATCATGCCTCTGTCGGGGCATCTCAAAGTAGCACCCAGAAAAAGCCAACGGTAGCACCGAGGGGTAAACTGAGGCATGAAGCAGTCACAGGAGGAAAACGCAGCTCTCCCAGGTGCTGGCTGTGTGTCCTCGCCCCCGAGTCAGCATGGGGCAGCCCTGGGGGTCTCTGCCGGTCCACCGAGTGTCCGTGCCCCTGGGCAGTGGGATGCACTCACTTGGTCCCTGTACCCCACACCTCTGCTGTAAAATAACCCCCATTTCCATCTCCCGGGCGGGAGGGAGGACTGAATGCAGAAGCAGCGCGAAGGACGCAGTGACTGCAAAACACCATGTCAGCTCTGCAAACCACTGCACTGTCACCACTGCGGACAGGTCCACCACCGCCTCCTATTTACAAATGAGTAAACCAAAATCTAAACTCTGGCTTCCAGGCTACTAATCCACAGGGAGGAGGCAGCCTCCACCCCCCTGGGCATCCCGCAGTTCGGCTTCCCCGCGCTGCACCTAGCAAGCAGCGGAGCTCGGGGAGCATAACCTCGCTGCTGGGAAGCAGAGCCAGCAGAACTTTCCCTGATTTATACTCCTTCTCCCACTACAAGCAGCTTCTGTGGAGTTCCTGTCCTACCCCCAAGGAAGGCGCTGGCTCCTGCCATGCTGAGATAAGCCGCTTGCCAGTGTCAGCGCTCTGGAGATAAGTAAACAGGAGGCGTAATTTGATTTGCACTGATTAAGCTGCTCTGGAGGTAAAAATCTAGAAAATAAAACACAGCGAAGACCCAGAATTTTCTCCTTGCAAAATTGAAAATATTTGCGTTTGTAAAAGTTTCCAACCAAGAGTTGGTTTTGGGGGGTGGGTGGGGTGTTTTTTTTTTCTTTCTATAAGGGGGTGTTTGGAAGGAAGGGTGGGGTATGGGGGGCACTGAGCTGCCCCGTACCCTTGCGTTGCAGGAGAGGAGGGGGTGAAGGGGGCCAGGAGGGATGGGAAGCTCGAAGGGCTGGGTTACACATTATTTTATTCCTCCACTGGAAAAAATAATCACTGCATAGAAGTTGTAATCACCAGATGAAGCCCAGAAATACCCGCTATTTTACCGACAGAAGACAGACATGGGGTGAAAGTGTTAAGCCAGAAGCTGAGGTCTGAACGTGAAGTCTGTCTCCCCTGCAAGCACCCAGCACTGCAGCTGAGCTCCAAAGGCACAAAAAGGAAGTTTGGGGCCTAAAGTCCCACTGACAACAACTGGGGTCAAGTCTGAGACTGCCATGTGGGCTGCCAAAAACATCCCTCTGTGATTCCACATGCCAGTCCGCAAGGCGGAGAGGATAACGCGGCCGTGCTGCACAGCATGTGCAGAGGACGTGTTTGGGAGGCGCTCAGACATGTGGAACCCATAAGAGTCTACAAAACCAGCAGATCACACCCTTCAGAAAATATCCCTCTGTCCCCAGGCCCCCCGTTGTCATTTATGACTAAACTTCGGCGGGGTGCAGAAGGAATTTGAAAGCCTTTTCAGAGCTGCTAGCAGCCACTCTCTTCCCCATCCTCCTCCCTCGGACTCTGACAGACTGTCGCTTGCACTCCAATCCTTTCCTATTTTGTCCTCTCTGCTACCAAACCTCAGTGCTCTGTTCATTAACTGCAGTTCCGTTTCCCTTCGATGATTAACTCCAACTGTCCAAACACACAGGGCTCTGGGGGGGCTGTTCAGATGCACAAATGTAGGCGTCGGGTGCCATTTTCCATGCCCCAGGGTACCCTGCCTGGCCCCTGGCTGCTGCCCCAGGAGGGAAGGAGGGAGCCTGGCGTAGGTCTGGTGCGTATCTGCCAGCCCTACACAGACGTCTTGGATCCCTAGCAGTGCCTAAAACGGAATTAGACACCTACGGTTTGGGCACAAGAGCAGCTCCCCAGATCACTGCATTTTTATATTTAGTTTCTTTGTTTTTCTTGGCAGGGTGTGGAAGGAGGCAAATCCAGACTCTTGGGAGGAAGGGGGTGAAAATGACCCCACAACTTGACTTTGTGTCTTTTTTTCCATAGCCCTGCTCTCCAGAACGTACACATGTGTTTTGCTATTGCTCTAACTGCTCTCCCCTTGCTCCCCAAATATTATTCTGCAGCCTCCCACTCCTTTTGTCCACATTGATCTGAGACATGTCACCCTTCCTATACATAAGGAATCCAATCTGCAAAAATGTGGATTCCCACAAGAAAGTATCCGCTTTCCTGTTAGCTGATCACAACCCCTCAGGAGAAACAAAGCCTAAGGTCTCCCTTCAGCCAGACCTCCTAATGTAAGCAAGCTGTTCCCTTCACCAGTTGCCCAGCTTACATACAGTTTCAAATTGATGTTGTTAATTCAGTGACAGATGCACAAGGTGCCATTAGTGGGTCTTCTTAAATGGAAGCATAATTTTTACCCATCAAGATCCTTTTACCACGCTGGTGCTTGCAACCTTCACTGGGGAATATGGAGCCACAGCAGGGAGCTGGTTGTAATTTCACCAGTCTTGCGGATATGCAGTGACAAGAGATGCGTGCTGGTTTTGGGGGTTAGTTTGAGTCAAAGCATCCATGTTCATGGCAGGTTTGCCTCTTCCTACACCAAGACTGGGTCTGGTTTTGGGTTGTTTGGCTTATGATTGTTTTTGGTTGATTTGCTGGGCCGAAACCAACGCCTGCCCTTATGGGTGGGACAATTCGTATTGGCTTTACTGGAGTTGTATTAGGGCTGTAGTGACTTTTGCCAGATGAAAGGTACCTCACAGCAGGGACTGGGACAGCATGTCCCCAAACACGCTGGAAATGAGGCTTCGGAGACTAAAGTACCTCAGTAATACAAGCTGAGAGCACAGTTCCCCTGCCCTTTAGTAGCTGCCTTCACTCGGAGCCTGCAGACAAGGGGACAATTAGTGGCGCTTGCGGTGGGCTGAGTTTCTGTGATGTGGTGGTTTGCCCGCTGGGATCTCTTCTGAGGTCAGCAGCCCATTTTGGATCATGAAGCACTGGACAGCTTTCAGATGGGAACAATTTTTGGTAGTAGCCATCATTACAGGCTGCACATGATATCATTTAATCTTCAATAGATACTTAAGGAAGTCTCCATAAGACTGGCTTCTGAGCACAGCTGCACACTCACACATGCATGTGACAGGGAAAAGGCTACTAAAGAGAAAAGAATTACTCTTATTCCCTCTTTCTCTGGGGGGACCATCCCCACTGTGGGCTCTGTTTCATCCTGCCAATAAAACTGGAACCTACACTATCACTTGAATGTTGCAAAACTGCTTATCAACCCATAAACATTCAAGGGAATAATTGTTCCCTGTCAGACCATGTGTACTGTGGGTGGGTGGGGAGGCTATGGTGGAGAAGCCAGTGCCAGAAATGGCTTTTCTGCAAAGCCGGCAGCCTGGAAGAGGAGCCAGGGGAGAGATCCGAGTGCTACACGGTGTGCTGCAGAGAATTCAGGTGCAAGCTACAGGAATTTTCTCACTGGAAAATCCTTCCAAGAGGCAGGCAAGCTTGCCAGGCACCAGATGTTTGTGACTAGTTACAAAGAGCTGCAGTCAAAGCCCTTCAGACGCAAGCTTCTTTTGTGAGCACACTTGTGGTTTGCTGGCTGCTCCCTAATTAAGCTGAGCCTGGAGGAGAGGAGGCCCAGGGATCTGCATCCGTTTCAGCCATGTGAGTCTGAAGAAGGTTTTTACCATTTTTATTGACCGTGGGGCCAGTGCCGTGGAGTTTGCACACAGCAGGAGGTAGGGTCAGCGTGAGAGCATTTGAAAAATGCCAGAGGTTCCTAATAAAGAAGGGAGGGTGTTTTGTGAATGAAACATAGAGGAGTGTTTCTGGCTTGGTCAGTCATGTCCTGGGTGACCTGGACTTTGCTGAGATGTGGGGAGCTTGAGTTAATCTGTGCTAGGCACTGGGACGTGCTCTGTCCCTCTGTGCTCAGGAAGCCTTTCCTGAGTATCCCGTGGAGGGACTGTGCCATACATTTGGGAACCCTTGGCAGTAATGAGGCTGTTGCTGGCTCCAGTGTTGCCCTGCAGCTCAAGGACAGAACAGAGACGGTTCCTGAAGGGCAGCACTAGTGGTTGGTGCACAGTACTCTCTGGATTACAGTACCTAGAGAAACATGCCCAAATAGGACCTTTTGGAATAATTCTCAGGCTTCTCTCTTCTGGGGTTGAAGTACTGGGTCCCTGATACTGTCTTCTGCCTGCTGTGCCCAGAAGAGCTGGGCTGGGCAGTGTGCGCTGTGGCTGGACAACCCCGTGGGGATACAGTGTGAACCATTTTTCATTGTGTCTATTAAGCACCAGATATAAATGCCCAGGTATTTGGCATCTTGTTCTCTTTCCCTTTTCTGTGTGTATGTCTTCCCCTGAAGCACCTGAGATGGGGCACAGGCAGAATGGGATTACT